GTTCCTGCTTCAGTGGCTCGTGATTTGTGCCCAGCCAGACTGCGGCAGTTGGTAACTGGTCTGGTGTCACACAGGCTTCCCGAGCCCCGAGCCTCATTTCCTTTACCTAGAAGATGAGGATAGCAACCTTGGCCCACCTTGCAGGGAGCTGGGGCACTGACTCCCATGGCCTGCTGTCTGGTGCTTTGCCAGAGCATGGGACAGAATATGGGAAAGCACTGTGTCACCTCTGGTGACTGTGGCATGGGCCTCTGTGTCTGTGGGCACACATGTGACTATGCCAAGGGCAGGGTCATACAGAAGGGCCAGGTGCTGACCTGCAAACCTCTGTCATCCTTCTCCTTGCAGAGGGCCATCCGTGTACGCAGCCACTCCATGGAGACCATGGTGGGCAGCCAGAGGAAGCTGCACAGTGGAGGCATTCCTGGAAGTCTCAGTGGGGGCATTGTCCACAACAGCATGGAGGTCACCAAGACTACCTTCTCGGTAAGTGTGGCTGGCCCTAGGCCAGCATGTGGACCAGGGGAGGCTCCTCACTAAACCTATGCAGGAAGGGTGCCCCCGCCCAGGCTTGGGCTAGACAACTTGAGCAGGGCAAGCTGGATGATGGAGGGAAACTGAGTCCACTTGGGGGTGACTCACTCTCTGCCCTCTGATAATGGTTGCTTGGAGCCTCAGTCCCAGGTGGTACCTGGAATTGGACTGGACTAGAAGTCCCCTTGTCTTGTTCTCTGAGTTTCTTTGACAGCTGGATCTCCTCCTTTGGGCCAATCCTACAAAATGGTCCTAGGGTGTGTTTCCCTGCCCAGGGGCTTGGGGCCCATGACTTGGAGAGGGGTGTCCTTGCTTCGTTATTGTTAATGATAGCAGTCGCCACCCCAGCTTGCTGTGTGCTAGGTACCAGACTAAGTAATCCATAGACAAGGTCTTTCCTGATTCCTGTTACAGCTGCCTGAGGCAGGTCCTGAAGCCATCTCTGTTCCACATTTGAGGAAATGGAGGCTCAGAGATGTTAAGCAATTGCTGCAAGTCACTCAGCTAAGCTGAGGAGCTGGGATTTGAATGCAAATCTTCCTGATTCAAAGTTTATCTTCTTCATCACTGCGTATACAGTGACAAAGGAGAGAGGGCCCTTTGGCTTTGGTCTGTGAGCTCAGGCCCAGTTGACTTATACCAGGGCTGGGCAGGCGAGGGAACCATACTGCCAATCCATTTGTGTAAGGCAAAGTGGTTTTGGAATTGTATTTTCTATTCTTGTTCTTTTTCTGATAGTAGAACAAACTTACCATAATATTCATGATTCTAATTATAAATGGCTTTGCACAGTTAGTTTAATCTACCTATTGTCATGTTCCTTTGAGAAGGTCTATGAAGTGAGCATTCTGTGGTTGAGACTGAGGCTCAGAGAGTTTTGCAGTTTGCCCAGGGTTGCACACACATGATTGGCAGAAGTTGGGGCCTGGGTTAGAAGCTCTAAAGGTTGGCTCCAGGTTCCCATCTCTCCTTCCTCATTTTCACCCTGTGAGGCTCAGCGACTGTCCTGAATCAGAAACCTCTGCTGGCTCCACAGCTCCGCTTCCATCTGGTTATTGTGACTCCTCCCAGGCTCCGTGTACTCCTGAGCAGTGGATGGAGGGTCAGGAGCCCTTGGGTTCTTGTCCTCATCCTTCTAGTGATGTGCTGGCTGACCTCGATGAAATCGCTTCACCTTCTGGTCCTTGGCTTCCTCCCTGGTGAAATCAAGGGTTGAACCAGGGTTCTTGAGCTTTGAGGTTCTCGGTCTGTGATCCCATGAGTCATCCTGACTTTCTCAATATGTGGAGCTTTGCTGTGGTGGCCGTGACCCCAGCAGGAATTCTGGTCTTCCTTGGGCCATTGCTTGGGGCCAGTGACTTGTCTTAAGAACACAGAAAAAGACTGTGAGAGGCCTGAGCCGTGGGGTTTCAGCTCTTGTTATATAGATCCCATCTTTCCTAGCTGCATCGCTATCTTCTGGGGTCCCCTCCAGACCAGGCAAAATTTGTAGACCAGAGAGAGGGAAGGGAAGGAGACTCGAGTCTGGGGTGGGTGCACTCACTCTGGCAGTTTTCTCCGCAGCCTCCAGCAGCAGCTGCGACAGTGAAGAACCAGTCAAGGAGCCCCATCAAGCGGCGGTCAGGGCTCTTTCCCCGTCTGCACACGGGCTCTGAAGGCCAGGGGGATGGCCGGACACGATGGTAACTGTCAGGGGCCCCCAGCTCCAGCCCAGCTGTGGGATCTGTCAGCCTTCTCCACCTTGATAGCTGTCTGATACCCAACCTTGGGAAGAGCTTAGGTCAGATTGGGGAGGTGGCTTCTCTTTAACCCTGGCTCTGCTCAGGCTCCTGCCTGGTCATTCACTCACTCAGCTTTTTAATCTACTGAGTCATTTGGCCACTCTCTCCATGGATCTCCAAAGTTGTTTTTGTAGCATTTTGATCCAGGCTAGAAACATTTCCTGGGTTCTCGTCTTACAATGCTCAGTCCAATGTATACCCCCACCCCTGTACCTTTTTACGTCACTGGGGATTGAACTCAGGGCTTTGTACATGCTAGACAAGCACTCTACCACTGAGGGCACCCCCAGCTCCAAATGTCCCCTCCTATGGAAACTTTCCCTGATTGTGCCGGGCAGAGTTCATTGAACCTTCTTTTGGACTTCTAGAATGTTCTATTTTTTTAAAGTAACTCTCATATTGCAGCATATTTAACCTGTTCTTATTAATCATCTTTCTGATCCTTTAATTGACGAACCCATTTGTTCTTTAATTCAGCAAGCAGCATTTATTGAGTGCCTGCCGTATGCTGGGCCTGGTGCTGAGTGCTTAGACAGGCGCAGCTGGACACCCAGGTCTGCCCTCTGCAGCACACAGTACTGGGAGGAAGACATTTAGATTCATTTCCAGATTTCTGGTTGTTGGCCTATAGCCCCGGGTGATGGTACCATCCCCCAAGCTAGGTCATGCTGGACAAGGGACAGGTTTATGGAGGAGGACAAAAGGCTCTGTTTGGAACCTGCACATGTGAGTGTCATGGGCCACTCAGGAGAGATGTCCAATTCTTGAGTTTTGGAGAGAAGACCTGACTGGAGAGGAAGGAGTTGGGTGACTCTGGAATAGACAGGCTGGTTAAAGACATGTTAATGAGTCAATATGAGTGTCCCCAGAGGGTATGTGGAGCACCAGTGTTCAAGGGCACATGGAAGACAGAGAGCTAGTGAACATGACAAGAGGAAAAGAGAGGAGAGGCTGTGGAGGTTGGGATCAGTGAAGCCAGGAGGGGGGAAATTTCATTAGTGTTGGATGTGCAGGCAAGTTTAGCACAGTGGCCCAGACTCCTGAGTGGGGCAGCGAGGCCATCAGAAGTACATTGAGGCATTTACCACCACTCGCATGGCTGTGATCAAAAAGACAGATAATAGGGCCTGGGTTGTAGCTTGGTGGTAGAGGGCTCGCCTAGCATGTGTGAGGCACTGGGTTTGATCCTCAGCACCACATAAAAATAAATAAATAAAATACAGTTATTGTGTCCATTTACAACTAAAAAAATAAAAATAGAAAAGGCAGATAATAATAAGTGTTAGGATGTAAAGAAATCAAGCCCTTATTCATTGCTATTGGAATATGAAACAGTGTGATGACAGCTTTGGGAAACAGCCTGCAGTTCCTCGGAAGGCTAAACTAGAGTTACCCAGTAATGCCACCCCTAGGTATCTACTCAAGAGAATTGAAAACAATTGCCCATAAAAAAACGAATACACCAGCACCACTCAGTACACAAATGTTCATTGTAGCCTTATTCGCAGTAGCCCAAGGTGGAAACAGTCCAAATGTCCATCACTTGATAACTAGATACATAAAATGGGGATATTATTTTCCAATGAAAACAACTAAAATTCTGATGCAGGCTATCACATAGTGAACTTTTGAAAACATTATGCTAGCGAAAGAAGCTAGACATAAAGACCATACCACATTATATGATTTCATTTATATGAAATGTCCAGATTAGCAAATCCATAGACAGAAAGTAAGTTAGTGGTTGGAGGAGAGTGGGGGCAAGAGATGGATAGACAGTGACTGCAAATGGAGCCAAGGTTTCTTTTGGGAGGTCTAAGAATTAGACTGTGGTAATGATTACACAATTCTGTGAATATACTAAAAACCGTTTAATTGTCTACTTTAAATGAATGAGTTGTGTGGTATGTGTATTGTGTCTCAATGATGCTGTTTTTTTAAATGTATTTTTTTAGTTATAGATGGACACAATATCTTTATTTTGTTTATTTTTATTTTTTTATGTGGTTCTGAGGATCGAACCCAGTGCCTTACATGTGTGAGGTGGGCGCTCTGCCACTGAGCCACAACCCCAGCCCTCAATGATACTGTTATTAAAAAAAAAAAGTGCATTGCTGGTCATGGTGGTGCATGCCTATATGCTCAGTGATTAGGAGGCTGAGGCAGGAGAATTGCAAGTTCGAGGTCAGCTTTAGCAACTTAATGAGACCCTTTCTCAAAATAAAAAATAAAAAGGGATGAGGATATAGCTCAGTGGTAAAGTCCCCCTGGGTTCAATCCCCAGTCCCCCTTCCCCTTAAAAAAAAAAAGGTTCATTGAGAACAAAGCTATTGTGTATTGTGTACTTAACAGCTGGCACAGGGTAAATGGTCTCTACTAAACTTTAAGGTAAGGGAACTTCTGGACCCTTGGGTCAAGGGTAGCCCTTTGCTCTCTAATACCCAGACCTACTATCTCACATAGATCCAGGGGCCTCATATTACAGTGTGTATACAGGGTGTCCCCCCAGAGTCACACAACAGATGGTCCCCCTGGAACCTTCCAGGAATCCATACATATTGGACTGTTTCCTGTATAGACTCTACTCTGTTTCCTGTGGGGCCCTTTCTCAACTCATAGCTTTGCCTGGTGGGACAGTCAGCTTGGGTGAGGGGTAGACTTGGGCTGGAGCCAGGGTTCCTGTTTGATGGGCCTGAACTCTTACCCACGAACCTAGAGTGGGCTTTTCTGTAAGGGAACACAAAACCCTGTTGGCTGTTGTAGTCTCAGGGGCTCAGGTGAGAAAGGAAGTCCTGTAGCCATGCTTTAAAGGTAGGGGTCTGCTGAACCCCACAGTCAGAACTCTGTCTCAGACCTGGGGGTGGACTGGCATATTGGGAGCTGGCTCCATGGTATCACTCTCTTCATTCTCATTCCCTCAGTGACAGTGCATCCAGCACCCCCAAGACCCCAGATGGCGGACACTCTTCTCAGGAGATAAAGTCTGAGACCTCATCCAATCCCAGCTCTCCGGAAATATGCCCCAATAAAGAGAAGTAAGAAAGTGAGGGTGAAGGAAAGGCTGGCTTTCCTCATTTGGAGTCCTGGAACATGGGCTTCTGCCTCTAGGCAAGCTGAGAGTCTGTTTCCTCTGGAACTTTCTGGAACACAAAGATTGGCGGGGGAGGGGGGCACAGGAATTATTGTGGGCAAGTTCAGGTCTCAGCTGGGCCTGTTCCATTCTCCATCTGGGAAGGGCCTGAGGGCTGAAAGGGGTCTTGGTTTCCTGTGACTGGGGCTGGCCTCGCTTCCTGTTCCCTGCAGGCCCTTCATAAAGTTGAAGGAGAACGGCCGGGCCAACATCTCCCGCTCCTCCTCCAGCACCAGCAGCTTCAGCAGCACTGCAGGAGAGGGCGAAGCCATGGAGGAGTGTGACAGTGGGGTAAGTGTGCCCATTCCAACCTGTGGAGGGTATCCCGGGACTGAGACAGCAGAAAGGAAAGAGCAGGTCCACTGGGGTAGGAGGCTCTGGGCTTGTGGGGGTCCTATCTCAGGCCTCTCTGGGCACGGGACCCTGTGGGGCTTCCGAGGGTGCACTGACCTCTCTCACCCAGTCTCTCTCTCCCCAGAGCAGTCAGCCGTCCACAACCTCACCTTTCAAGCAGGAGGTGTTTGTCTACAGCCCGTCCGCGAGCAGCGAGAACCCCAGCCTGGGGGCAGCTGCCACCCCCATCATCATGAGCCGGAGTCCAACGGGTCAGTGGCTTTTGGTGGTGTTTGCAGCGTGGCTGGAGGGGTTGTGTGTGCAATGTGGCTGGAGGGGTTGTGTGTGTAATGTGGCTGGGAGGGCAGGATGTGCCTTGATCACTGTTCATGTGGTATGCGCCCCAGGCACGCTGGTCTGGCCAGTTCCTGTCCACCTCTGAGATGTCGGCCCTTCAGCCTACCAGCTCTTTTAATCTGTCCATCAACCTTAAGTAGCCTGTGTTCTTATTTTCTTTTTATGTATGGAAACTGAGGCTCTAAGAGTTCAGTGATCTGCGGGAGTGCCATAATTGAGGAGCTAGGATCATGAGGTTAGAAAGCTGAGTGTGCTCCCTACCTTTGATGCTACCCCATCAGCCATCCCGGGCCCCTCTGTCATGGCTTTGATCCTGATGATACAAGGCTAAGAGGGAGGAGCAGCATGTGAGAAGGCTGGAGGAAATGAGAGACTTGGCATTGTGGAACCTTATGTGATTCAATGCAGCTGGAATTCATGGGGAGGCGTGAGAGAGGAGAGACAGGCTGTAGTAGTCACAGGTGGGCTGCCAGGAGATTCTGGTGGGAATTGTAATGCTGTCACTCCTAGAGGGGTCTCAAGCCTTGAAGGTCTTAAGTAGAAAAGTGCCATCTGGAATTGAGAAAGAGCATTTTAGCTGCTGCATGCTGAGTATGGAAAGGTTGACAGGGAGCTCGAGCCGGGAGGGGGAACAGAAGGAGCACAGTAGGGCGGTGGAAGGAGATGAGGCCCCAGAGAGGATGGGAGAGGATGTCAAGGAGGTAAATGGTAGTGGGAATTCTGGGAGAACAGGCCTTTTGAGGTTTTGGGATCCCTGCAGTTGGGCAGAGTAAGAGGCCCCAGCTCTGGAAGAGGGGAAAGAGCAGGCCCTGAGAGCTATCTAAGTGGCCCTGTGTGATAGGCACTGTCTATCCAGGTGGGTATTGTAGGTGCCCAGAAATCAAAGTCCTTGAGGCAGGCAGCACAGCATGGGGCACGCGTAGGACTCTGAAGCTTGCATGCAAAGCCTGGATCTGCCACTCACTAGTGATGTGACGTTGGGCAAGTTACTAGGTTTATGCTTATAAGGGACATAGAACTATTAACCCAAGTGTGAATTAAATGATTGGGATAGAACAGTAGTATGATCAGTGGTTTTAGGTGGGGGCAGATATGCTTCTCAGGGAATCTTTGGCAATGTCTGGAAACATTTTTGGTTTTCATGATTGTGGAAGGGGGGAGGGACCCTGTGATAACCAGGTAGTTAGCGATACTGCTCAACAATGTACCCAACCTCCAACAAAGGATTATCTAGCTCAAAATGGAATAATTTTAGAAATTCTATCCAAACGTTAAGGACACAGGAAGGGTCATTGGGCTGTTACAATGGTTTCAGCCAAAATACATCTGGGGTTCTCATGGCGAGGTGTGTTGGTGAAAAGGGTCAGAAATGTCAAAGGGAAGATATAGGGAAGATCATGGTCAAGAGCAAGTGATCTTTTATCTTAGTGTTTCCCAGTTAATGGAGCAGTTCATGCCTTCCTCTCATTCACCTCCCATTTGAAGCTGGGTTCTAATCAGACAGGCCTACTTTTCTGAACCTCCATTTCCTCCTCTGTAAAATGGGATAGTTTTACACATTCCTGGATTTTTAAGGGTTAGTTAGTTAAATGTTGATAGAATGAATGAAAGAATCTATAACCAAACCTAGTACCTATGTGGCACTAAACAAATATCAAAATGAATCATATGTGGAGTAAGAGAAGCTTATAGAGAGTCTACGATATATTGAAGGTCACTCAGGGCAAAAGGGAACCTGGATCACGTCTGGTAACTCTTGTCTAGTGCTTATTGCACCTCCCAGTGATGAAAAAATGTGGTTTTAACATGAATATTGACTGATATTATCATTTATGTTAACCAGTACTTTATATTAAGAGAACTTCAGCCATTTGTTAAGGTCATGAGCAACGTTTTTACTGAGTCAGATAATAATTTTCAAATATCAGAAGAGTATTTACCCAGTTTTTTGGCACTATTCACAATGAAATGGCTGTAGGCAGAGCACATTTTCAAATATAATCCACATGATTACTTTCTCCATTAGTTTCTTAAGTCTAGACAACAAAACAATAAATCATGCCTGATTTGTAGCATTTGCCGGTTGATCTCAAGCTATTTCCATGATGTCCTTGAACATGGGCTGGGAAAAAGTACTGTTCACCCCTGTGGGGTGTTTCTGTCACGGATACAATGGATGCAAAAGTATAGACAATAGTAAAATCTAGTAAAATAGTGAGGACATGATGAATTTTGAGTATTTATTACTTTTTGAATATAATTTATTTACTCAAAAGCTTTTATCATTTAATTTTTAAAACTTTCTTGTGTTTAACAACCAGCTCATACCATTTCTAGAAGTTTAAGAGTTGGCTCTGATGCATGTTCACATGGGCTACTATGCCTTGAGGCAAGGCAGGGAGGCCCCTTTCTCTTGGCTTCCACAGACAGTCTCTCTCCATTCAGTTCTCATGACCTCTGCCGTTCCATCTCCTTTTCATGGACATTCTCCTTTTCTTAGATGGCAAAAGCAGAAACTCCCCAAGATCAAACCTGAAATTCCGCTTTGATAAGCTCAGCCATGCCAGCTCCAGTGCGGTAAGGATCTGGGTGTGAGGACCACCCCCCATCCCAGGCTCCTCCAAAAGCCAGCTTTCTTTCCTGTGGGCTGGAAGGGGAGCATGTCTCAGATATCACATGGTGGTTCCCTGAGAGGGGAAGGGAGGTTCTTGTCAGATCTGGGGGTGATACCACCTGTCCCCCCATGGTGTAGGCATCAGCCAGGCGTTCATCAGCTACTTTTGCCATACCTTTCACATTTGAGCCACCATTGGACACACACAGCTGTGTCCAGATCTGCAATATGAACCACTGTCCCCTGGGGCCCCTGTCCCTTCCTAAGGTCACCAGATTGTTGAGAGGAGAGTGTGCAGAGGTTGCAGGTGGAGCAGATTGCTATCTTGTTATTTAAAACTCTTGTATGGATATTTCTTGAAACAGGGTCACTAATGGAAAGTGGAGTCCTTTGCCTGTCCAAGGTAAGTATTTGTTTTGCAGTGGCCACAAGGAGAGTTGTGTATTCCTTTCAGATCAGGGTACCAGCTAGGTGTAATGGCACACGCCTGTAATGTCAGCGACCTGGGAGGCTGAGGCAGGAAGATCACAAATTCAAGGCCAGGCTCAGCAACTTAGTGAGACCCTCAGCAACTCAGCAAGACCCTGTCTCAGAATGAAAAATAGTAAGGGCTGGGAAAGTTGCTCAATGATTGAGTACCCCTGGGTTTAATCCCCAGGAACAACCCCCACCAGAAAAAAAGATCAGGGTGCTGGTGACCTTATGACCTGAGAATGGTCAGAGAGATGCTACCAGCTGGGGAGGTCCACACAGTGGCCTTATCTCCAAACATCCATGATGGGCTTCCCCAAGTCTATGAAGGGAAGAAAGGGAGGATGCCTTGGATGTGGAAGGGAGGGGTTACCCAGTGGGATTGGTGCAGTTCACTACAAAGATCTCCCCCAAACTGGTGAGTCTGATTGCAGCAGGTGGAAGGGATCAAGGCCAGAGTCCATTTCCTTTCCTGGAGGGAGGAGTTTCTCAGCTCACCTGTTGCTTCCCTGATCTTAGGTAGCCTTTCCCTCCTTGTGTCTTTGGCCAAGGCTCTAGGCTAGAATGTGTCCTTCCTTCATGCCAAGAGATGCTCTTGCTCAGGAAAAAGTATAAGGGACAGCCCCAGGGAGACCTCTGCTCTCAGCCTCTGCCCAGGGGTTCATGTGGTTCCAGCAGAGCAGGGCAGGAGTCCTCCATGATTAAGTTTCAGCTCCTACTAGTGAAGACACCAGAACCCATCTGAACTCCTGACCCTCCCCCACCTGTAATCTCAGGTGGATGAGTCACATTAGGGACCATGGAAAAGGGCACTTTAAGCCTGTTTATGAGAAAACAGAAGAGAAAATGGGAATGTCAACATTCACCTCTAACATCTATCATGGGCTTCAGATGCTTCTCTTTACCAAAGTAATGTTCATACCCAACTGCCAGGGCTGTGTAAATGAAGTCAGGGACCCTTATGTTGGACACCCTCCTTGTCCTGAGTGCAGCTGGTGGGCTGTGGCTACGTAATGGTGTATTTATCTTTCCTGCTTTTATGGAATGCTCGCTCATCTTTTCACTTCCCCTTGTCTTCTGCAGGGAAGCCCAGTTCTGTCCTGTAGAAGGCTCCTGTTCCAGCAGTTTGGGGGTGCCATCTGCTACTCTGACCATCACAGGCCTGTTGCCCTACTGGCCACCTGCCCATCAGACCGGCTTCCTGTGCCATGTCCCAACCTGACCACGGCCCTGCTGGCTCCTTTATCAACATACCCTGCAAGAATCTTCCCATTTCTGGACAAGGCTTCATTCCTGGAGGCTCCTCTGCTCTTGACCTCCAGCTGTGATGTCTGTCTGGGTCATTTGTCATCATCTTGCTTTGTCTGAAGGACAGAGAGTTGGGCAAGAAGGGATCTAGGTATGGGAGCTCAGTCAGAGACTGGGGAGCTCATTTGCTTCAGAGGCAGAAGGTGATGAGGTGGAGAGCAGAGGTGATAGCAGAACATAAGGTGGGCCCTGTCTGTCCTTGGTCACAGTGCAGTGCCTTCCTGGACTTGGAGACAGGAGCTTCACCACCACCAGTGCATTTAGTGATGTAGTGGAGGTAGAGGGGCTGCTTTCCCAGGAGCCAAGACTAGCAACATCTTGGAGGTTGTCCTGATAAAAATAGGCTCCAAGCTGGGTGCATACCTGTAATTCCAGTAACTCTGGAGGCAGGAAGATTGCAAGTTCAGGACCAGCCTTGGCACTTAGAGGGACTTTTTCTCAAATTAAAAAATTAAAAGCATGGGGATGTAGCTCAGTGATAAAGCAACTTTGGGTTCAATCCCCACCCCCACCCCCCACCTATCCCACCAAAAAAACCCTCCATTGGTCCCTGATCTCTGGAACTCCAAACATATACCTGCTTTTGTGCTAAACATTTCTGATCTAGTCCCAGGGAAAGGTCCAGGGATGCTGTCATCCGTGTTGCTAGGGGCTTGGGCTTGTGGAAGCACAGAGACTGAGCTGGGTATGTCTGAGACCTGGGCTGCACACTTCCTTGATTGTAGCTGAAACTTTTTCCCCACTAATTTTATGCAGATTCCTGACTATCCTTGATGTGGGAGAAGCACCAGAAAATCTTGCCTCTTTGAGCAGACATTTTGTTTCCCTAGGAACAGCTGGGAAGCCAGGAATGAGAAGGAGTTCTGAGAGAGGGAACAGGCCAATGCTGGGCATTTGAGGAAAACTACAGGGCCTGAGGGCTCAGCCAGCCTCCACTGGGTCCCAGTCTCCACTGGTTGTGGAAGACATAGTTATTTCAGTCCCCCTATGAGTGAGAGGGGAAGAGGTGAGCTGGGGGGTATGACGTGGCAGATTCTGGTTAGGCCAATGTGTGGGGGTTGAACTTAAGTGTGGGAAAGGAATGCAGTGTCCCTCAGACCCTGCATGTCCTTGGCATCTGTGGAGTGTCTAGTGTAGCCTTGGGAGCTGCTTCCATTTACCGTGCCCTCTGGGCATGTCTGGGGCTCCATCCCCCAAGCCTCTTACCCTTTCCAATCAGAGCCACTTTCTCTGGGATGAGCCAGCTGTCCTGAGGGAAAGCCCCCTGGCCTCTCACCTATCTTAGTCTGCAGGGTGTTTTTGCTGCTGGGTTTAGGGTGAGGCACCCTCCAAGTCAAATACAGTCTGAACAGCAGACCCTGGGTGGTGCTGCAGCTTGAAGCGCACAGGGCCTCTGGCATAGGTGGTACAGTGCTACTGGGGTGTTGCTGGCTGGGCTCCCCATTTTAATGAGCAGATGACAAGATTTCTAATCAAGTGCTTTATCTATACAAGGATCTGGACCCAATCCCAAGTCAAAGCATAGAAATGCAACACATTTTTTTGGACTGATATTTCCTCCTTACTTTTGCCATTAGCACAAAATTTTGATCTTTCATTTCCCACTCTCGTGTTGGATCCTGTCTGCAGACTGGGAGTGACTGCACCCCTTACCCTGTGTGGGACATGTGCTTACATAAAGTACTAGTCTGGTAAGATTTATTCTAGTTAGAAGGTCAACAAAAGATCTTTTTAGCTGAAAGTCAGTGTAGCGGCACCCACTGCTGGAACGAGGCCTGCAGGTCTGGCGGCTTTCTGTTGGCTGGGTTTCTGAAGGAGCTTGAAAGGTCGAACTGCATTTCTTTGAAAATGATTACAGGCTTTGGGCTCGCCTCTCTGGGTAGCTAGTATTTACAGTTGGTTGTGCCATGTTATATTGCATTCTGGGGTCCTTTGAGGTTTCCAGATTGTCCCCATGCTGTCCTGTATGGGAATGTCATACCTCCCTGTCTCTACTGCTCTAACTGCTCCTTCTGCAGCTACTATGTGCCTGTTGGGCTTTGCCCCTGGCTCTGGGCCGGTGGGCAGGATGGCTGGGTGTGTTCAGAAAAACAGACACAGGTTTGCTCCTGAAGAAGTACAGACATGGGAGGTGGTCTTCATCCTCGGCTTGCTGTTGGGGTACTCTGGGTAGGATCTGAGCTGCCACCTTCCTCTAGATCATGCCTCTCCATCTTTAGAAAGTCCATTTATTGGCTTCCAGAGTGTGCATTATCTACCTACCTGAGGTCCTAGTGGAGACAAGGAAGAAGTGGATGGGAATGTGGCCCAGTCTCCCCTCACTCTCCTGGACCATGGGCAGCAGCTCAGGTTCTTGGAAGGCTGTCCCCCACCTTACCCCACATTCTGATCCAAAATGACTGTCCTTTTATTGCTACACTCAGTCTTGGGGCTCAGAGACTTGCTGAAGCCCCCTAAGCCCTTATGACTGAATTTGTGTAGATGGTGCTTATGTTGGTATTTGGGGCATTTCCACTATGACCTTCATGAGAGGTTCTTCCGGTCACATCTCTGTCTCTGGGGACCACCTGACTCACAGAAGAAACTACACTTTGCAGGTGCTGTTGGGCACCCAGATGTCTCTAGCTCCACTGATGCTTGAAAACAGCTGCAGAAAAACTTGAGATAGAAGGTGTTAGGTGGAGTTTCTGCCTATGCTAATGAATGTCAAATGATGTTTCTTAGAAAATATGTGGTTCAGTTTTTTGGGGCATAGTCTTGAAGCCCAAGCCTTCTGCCTTCTTTTACCATCTCATTCAACCATGTCATGACCCACATGTGAAACCTTAGCCCCAGTGAACCCATAGCCAGCTAGTGGCAAAGCTGAGACTAGAACTCACAGCCCAGGGTTCTGTCCTCTGCACCAGCTGTGTGACTGATAGAGAAAGTGACTGGACCTTCCAGGTTTGGGGGAAGCCATGTTGGGAGGTGCAGCACCTGGTGGGTCCTTGGTCTCTGCTATTTTCTGTCAGGAGGGCTCTTCTCTTGGATTGGTCAGTGAGGACCCCGGGATTTGATTTGAGCAAAGAGAATGGAGAGGAAAAGGGATTCCAGGGAACTGCTCCTCAGTGACCTCTGGTCTTCAGCTCCAGTCTATAAGGTGGCGGAGGCCAGGGCACAGATGCAGTTCACCACCCCCAGCTTCCTTGCTGCAAATTAAGACAGAAGGTGGTAAAAGAAAACTCTCTCATTTTTCTCTGATTCTTAAAGGAAAGTGATTAATAGGAACCTAGGTTCAAGTGATCAGCCGGGACATGGCCTATTTCACTTTCCTTACCTTGACCCTAGAAGGTGCCAACTCAAACACTACCTTTTTCATTTGTTTCTTAGTCTATAGATTCAGCTGTGTTGTGGGGAATGGTGGGGGATTCAAGTAGATCTTACAGTTCCAGGGGCTGGAAGGGACCAGGCCAGTCATCCATGTTCAGGACCCTCTGGCTCCTCCTCCACTCCAGCTATTTCTTATCAAAGTCAAGGGCAGGACAATGAAGTTTGCCAAGGCTGCCCCTGCAGCTTGGTGGGGGCCTGTGGGGGCATTCCTCTACCCAGTTCCAGTATCTGTTTTACCATCAGCCCCTCGTCCACCCCTATTCCCACCCCTCTCCTTTCAGCTGGGCCATGTACCCCTTTGTGAGGAAGAAGATACCCCCACTTAGGGCCACAGGCAGCGGAGTCCTGCCTACTGAGAGGCTGTTGGGACAGAGGCTCTGTCCTGTGCCTTATCAGCCCTGGGGAGAGGATGTTTGGCTGGAAGACTGGAATTTAATTGCCATTGTCTTTGATTTTGTGATATTTCTGCTTGGAGGGGTGAAACCCCCCTTCCCACTCTTTAGCATGTGTGCCAACTCTCCCCTGTCATGGGTGTTACCCTTCGACACTCCAGCTCAGGGAGTGCTGATGTCCTCATGTGAAGAGATTCCTGTGTGATAGAACCTAAGAAATGTAGCTTGGAAGTGACCCCTGTGACGATGACGTTTCTTTCTTTCCTCTTAGTGAGGAGGTGATTTGTAGATCCTGACTGCCTATGTAATGTAAATAGTGTACATTTAATTTATTGCTATGGTAGCATATTGTATTTGTTAATGTATAAAACAAATTCTAAAAGGTTGACAAATGTATATTTTGTTGCTTAAATGTGTCTTTGCAGAAATTGACAATAAATAACATATTTTGTGTCCATCAGTATTCCAACTTCTTTTGCGGGTGGCCCCAGGCCTGGGTATCACCTTTCAGTTCACTGGAGGTTGCATATTAGCTGGCCTATGGATCTGTTAACTTTGGCTTGAAAAGCATTGAAATTTTTAAAAAAAATGTTTCAAAACTAATCACAACTTTCAAAAATATACCTAGAAATTTCACATAAAAATCTCAATTTTCTGTTTCTCTTAAAAAATCAGATGCTGAATCTACTTCTCAGGTGTGAATTCATCAGAGCTCACTGGAGTCTGTCTTTTTTTGGGTGGGACCTGATTACACCACAGTTTTCACCATTCTTTATTGTCCACCTCTGGACCATTTTACTCTTTCCCATTATTTGTTTGCATCTATAGGTATGAGTTTAGACCCTGATATTCACTGATTTATCTCTATCCTGCAATTTTCTTCCTTTTCCCCACTTTCTCAAATTACTGATTCACTTATTTAAGGATTCTTTCATAACTAAAAAACCTCTGTTCCTGTTCTTCTTTGACCCTCAAATGGTCACACCCCTCTTTTTAAAAAAATGTTTTTAGTTCTGAGTGAACACAGTACGTTTATTTTACTTTTATGTGTGCTGAGGATCAAACCCAGTGCCTCACACATGCCAGGCGAGCACTCTATCACTGAATCACAGCCCCAGCCCTGGCCACACTCTTTTATACACTCTGCTTTACACTGTTTGGGTCTAGATATAGAAGTAATACCTGTAAATAATTTTTTTCTTAAGAAGATTGAAGACAAGGAACAAATCTTTGAATATCTGACAGGGATTCATTTTGTGATCCTGGGCAAATTACTTCACATGATTTGCATTTTCTTTTATGTATATTCAGAAATCTAACCCATGTGTAAAGCATAAAGATAAAGATGAGTTCATAATTGGAGAAGAGCTTTGAAAAAAATGGCAAGTATTATTTAATCACCAGAAGTTCAATAATAATGATGATAACCATGGTACCAGATGACATTTATTGCTAGCTGACCATGTGGTAATTGTTTTACATATGTAGTCAGTTTTGTTATGACATTCTAGTTCCTAAAAATAACACTGCGTGAAATCATGCAACCACAGGACTAATGGGAAAAGTGGGGGTAGGTGCATAATACTCAAAAACTTTATCAGTGACACATAAACATAAAAGGTTATGTTTATACCATACTTAATAAAAATGGTAATAATTTTGTACATGTTGATGGTTAGGAAATACATAAATATTATAATACATAAGGCATTTGAACTTGAAAAAGGCCTGAAGTTTGCTTGTGGAGGTGGGTGTTAGAAGGGTTGTCACTTATGAATTATTATGAAGACGTAGAGGGGATTTTTTTCTGAAATTGGATGGGTGATGATAACACCAGATATGGATGGGTGTGGCTGTAGCACACACGGTATGTAGAGGTAGGTGATAGATGTTTGAGGTGCATGTATGTTTTGTGTGTGCCTGTAAAGTTCAGTTTAGCTGGGTCCAGTTTTCTACTTTCACATATTTCTCATGGATGAATTGTGAAATCAAAAGTACAATTTGCATTACACTCAAGTCATTCCCTATTATATCAATTGTGTTGGTGTATTTATTTATTTATTGTGGTACTGGAGATTAAACCCAAGGGCACTTTACCACTGAACCATGTCTCCAGCCCTTTGTATTTTGAGTCAGGGACTTACTAAGTTGACCAGGCTGGCCTTGAACTTGAGATCCTCCTGCCTCAGCCTCCTGAATAGTTGGGATTACAGGTGTGCATCATCACACTCAGGGAAACCCCTTCTTAAAACAAGTGTCATAACAGAACTGACTCTATTCTCATTTAGTTATCCAAACAACCCATGAACATGTGTTATTATTTCCATTTAACGTAAGGGTTCAGAAGCAATTCAGTTTGAAACCCAAATCTAGTAGGCTGATGTCAACATGAAGGTAAGTTCTAGACTGTTGGGGGTTCTGAATGCAAACAAATGCTCCAGATAGAGTGCATACCAGTTTTCTCTGGTTTCCCTGCCCAGTTGGCAGTCCCTGTCCTGGAACCCATGTCTGTACCCTTCTGGGCTGGGGCCATCCCACTCATGTTAAGCAGCACATCCTCTGAGCCTGTGGTGTAAGGCTTCTTATTTCTCAGCATTTTAGATTCCTGCTGTTCTGTCACCATGGCTGCAAGTGAAGCCTCATCTTTCACACAAACACCTCAGGTCTGTCTGTACCTCATGGTTTGGCTGCTTCCTGGGTTCAGCCTTTCTTTCCAGAAGCTGAGATGTCACTTATGGCTGAAGGCTTGTAGAGATTGAACACTTCTTGTCTGTGTGAAAAAGTGAGGTAGGGGCATGGATGCCATTCAGCTGGGCCAACGACTGTCCCTTCAAACTTTCAGACCCTGCTAGTGCTCTGAAAGCTCACCTGTTAGTCCAGGTATCTGTCTTTAGATGTTCTCTCACCAGGTGGGCACTCCTCCAGGTTGAGGGCTCAGTATTAGGACTCTAAAAAATCTGTTCATTGACCTCAGGGTCCAACAGCTTACAGCAGTCATTGGTGTGTGTTGGGGGATTATTCTGCCTCCTGCACAGGGGAAGGCTTTGCTGAGGAGTATGGTCAGGCTGTGCTCAGGTTTCCCCCAAGTCTTATTTTTTGAGTGCCTATTGTGTCCTAAGATGCTACTGACCAGCTGTGAGCTGATCAGCCTTTCTCTGCCCTCTGGGCTTCTGAGTCCAATAATGACATCACAGTCTATTTCTGTAATGTTGCACTATCAGTTATTAAAACAATCCAATTTCATTCATGCCCAGTCTTGTTTGTTTTAAACATCACATTCAATTCAGAGCTGTCCCCACCAATCTTTGGGGTAGGCTGGCCTGGTAGGACCAGTCTTTTGCTTTGGGACTCCCTTGTTGACTGAAGTTTACTCAGGCTCCTGAGTCTCTTTTTGGCTCAGTCTTACCCTTAAGCCCAGTTTTAGCTAAGAGTCCTGCTAAACCAGTTTGAGAATTCCCTAGCCTAGATATCCAAACCAGGTAACTCACCCTTCACTCTTGATACCTAACCAAGTTCCTCTTGGTAATTTTATACTTTAGAAAGTCACCCTGAAAATTGGTTATAAATCCTCACTTGTCCCTGTTATGTTCAAGGTTGGGTTCAATCTCTCACCTCTATCTCAAAGGTTTGGAATAAAGTCTTCCTTGCCTGTTTAACTCTGGTGCAATTTTTCTTTGTTAAGTGGTTGGTCTGCCCTCCCATCAACATCCCCTGACTCTTCCACACTTCCACACTAGAGAGGAGGAGGGCAAAAGAGACCTCTCGTTTTGGGACTGTCCCTGGAAAGACACAGGGTAGTCTGCAGTACTCTGAGAAGCAGACACCAAGACCGGAGTGACACATTTCTCAAGACCCTTGAGAAAGTGAGGAAGGAGCTGGAGAAGGTGGAAAGCTGTCTCCTGGGAGGCAGGTCTGACCTTGAGTGAAGGAGAAATAAAGGAATGGAAGGTTGGACTGAAGTGTCTGAGTTCTAAGATGAATTCAGCAAGGTCACTGGGGAGTCCTCTAGCCAGAGTTCTTCACCTGAGGATTCCTGAATGATTCTAGGAGGAGACTAAAATTACTACCCCTGCCACGCTCAGCCATTGGGTGGGAGCAGCAGGAAGCCTGGCTTTGGTGGAGTTCCAGTCCAAACCCAAGACCCCAGAACTGGCAGGCTGATGCTATAAGTCCTGGCTGAGTCTGAAGCCCTGAGAACCAGGAGTGCTGTTTGAGGGCAAGAGAAGATGGGTGTCTCTGCAGCTTGAGCAGAGACAGCAAACTGCCCTCCTCAAGCCACTTTATGTTCTTTTCAGACCCTCAACAGATTGCTGATGCCCACTTGTATTGGTGAAGGTGATTATTACTCAGTTTACTGATTCAAATGCCGCCTCTCCTGGAGCACCCTCATAGACACACTCAGAAATAATGCTTTCCCAGCTCTTTGGACACTCCTTAACCATCACACAAGTCAGACGCAGCTCCTCTTCATAGAGCCAGTCCTCCCTTTGTGTTGCCTGGGGAATGAGGGGGGAGTGTTGGTTTCATTGCTAGTCCTGATCCAGTGGTGCCTCTCTGCACATCTGCTGGGGCTCTGTGGCTGGTTCCAGAGACTCTGATGGTTCTCTGAATTTAGAATGTGAATTTGATGGGTCATTGTTATGGTTCTACATCTCACCTCAATAATTTAATGGTTCACCTTGACATGCCCTGTTTATGGGAACCACAGTTAAGTTCCAGAGAGAAAATCCAAGACAGTGATAGAACCTAAGAGCAATGATCAGAGAAGGGGACTTTCAGTCTCCATTTCTCCAGGTAGAG